AAAGACGACGCTTGTCATACCTGCTGTCGTTGTTTTTTGGTCAGATTTTAACTCTGAAGAAAAGCTTTTTAATAAGACGACGCTTTTTTATTTGTGTGCGTCGTTATAAAAAAATTCTCAACAGTATCTCCATTTTTTAGTTGTTTAAGTCACTTATCCACGACGGTTTTTTGGTACCGTCGTCTTTTTAAAAACAACGACGGTTTTTTGTTCTACCGTCGTCTTTTTCTGGTCGTCTTTTGCCCTTTTTGTAGTAATGTGTATGCGAGAGTATTTTCGGTACATTGTTGAACATTCTTGGGAAAACAAAAGATGGGGTGGCAGCTCGTAAAGATCTCGTTAAATTGGGGGTAAGAACTAGTTTGGCACCACAAGTTGGCGAGAAGAGAACTTTTTTGCCTCCAGCAATGTGTACATTGAATAAAAAGGAGAAAATATCTGTGTGCAAGGCATTGATGAGTGTAAAAGTACCTAAAGGTTACTCTTCGAACATAAGAAACCTTGTATGCATGAAAGAGTTGAAACTTGTTGGTCTTAAGTCACATGACTGCCACGTATTGATGCAACAATTGCTACCGGTTGTAATACGTGGTGTGCTGCCCAAGCATGTTAGATATGCAATAACGAGGTTTTGCTTCTTCTTCAATGATTTATGTAAGAAAGTGGTGGATGTACCTAAGCTAGATAAGATACAATCGGACCTTGTGGCTACATTGTGTTTGCTGGAACAATTCTTTCCTCCATCGTTCTTTGATGTTATGGTCCATCTAACGGTGCATCTTATTAGAGAGGTTCGTTTGTGTGGACCAGTTTTTTATAGATGGATGTACCCTTTTGAAAGGTACATGAAGGTATTAAAGGGTTATGTACATAGTCGTGTGTATCCAGAAGATTGTATCATTGAACGCATTCTTGTGGAAGAATCTGTGGAGTTTTGCTCAGAGTTCATGGCTGATTTAAGTGCAATTGGGGTTCCTACAACACGCTTGCATTTAGCAAATACTAGTACATCTTTAACATGTCCATCTATAGAATCTGTGCCCTGCGAAAAATTGGACCAAGCACATCGAACTGTCTTGGATAATACAGCTGAAGTTGATCCTTACATTAAGTAAGTTATCCTAATCCAATTATTCTGTTTTCTTAGGTTCATTTTATGGATAAGTCAAACTTTAACATTAGATGCTTCTATGTGCACTGTAATTTTTATAGTGAACATAAAGACCATTTGAAGGAGAGTAATCCAAGGAAAGCAAAAGACGAAAAATGGATACAAGACATGCACAACCGAAGGTTTATTGACTGGTTTCATAACCGGGTTAGTAGTGTTCATTTTACTAAAGTAACGAAGGATTGGTACCTCAAACAGATTTTAATTATCTTTTATAATTTCAGGTTGGTGGTCAATTAAATATGAATTTGAATGGAGTGACAAACATTGTTAAGTGGCTAGCTCATGGACCACGTAAGGGAGTTTTGAAATATAACGGTTATGCCATAGATGGGTACCGCTACAAAGAAAATTTAGTAGAATGATCTTATTACAACAATTGAGAACTACAAAGGGAAACTAAAAGAATTTGAGAGAGATAAGGGAAGGGAGCTCTAGAGAAGTGCTTGAGAGCTCCCCCCCTTGGGGTGTGTTTACAAGCTTAGAGAACTTCCCTATTTATAGGCCTAGGGGAAGTGAAAATCTGAATTATACAATTGAATTTTCTAAACACACTAACTTCACCTAACACACAACACTTAATTCACCAACTTAACCTAACACACAATTGCATTTGAAAACAATTCCTCTTGTCTTTAGGCTTAGTGTTGCAGCTCCCACTTCATCATCTTTTGGCTGCTGTAAAATTCCACTCAAAAATAGGTATTGAATATGCTTCACCAAACTTTCTCACAATCAACAACACTTCATCATGCATATGTCATGCATGACAATGCATTGCAGCCAGCATGTGGGCTCGTTTTGGGCTTGTGGCTTAAATCTGAAAAATCTGGAAAAATATGAATCTTGAAGCTCTTTGAATTATCTTTCCAAGCATATGCAGCCCAACTCAAGGAAAAATCCGGAAGGCCTTCAAATGTGATTTTTGGCCCAGTAACGCAGATGCTGCCGAATTTGACCTTAAGTTGCCAAAACATGTATAACTTTCTCTAGAAAACTCGGAATCATGAACCGTAAAATTCTACAGAAACTAGACTTCCGTATATTTCCAATGATGTATGGGTCATCATCTGGTTCTTCTTGAGAAAGTACAGTCCAATCCGTGAAGTTGACTGATCTGCAGACACCGTTTTGAGCTAACTTGTCTCCGAAATGCAATTAGTGAGTCCTTAAGTTTATTACACTGAAACAAACACAAAACTTATTAAAAGCACAAGTTTAACTAAAAAATATAACCAAATCATAAGTTAAAAGGGTACAAAATAATATGTAAATATGCACCGATCAATAATACAGCTGAAGTTGATCCTTACATTAAGTAAGTTATCCTAATCCAATTATTCTGTTTTCTTAGGTTTATTTGATGGATAAGTCAAACTTTAACATTAGATGCTTCTATGTGCACTGTAATTTTTACAGTGAACATAAAGACCATTTGAAGGAGAGTAATCCAAGGAAAGCAAAAGACGAAAAATGGATACAAGACATGCACAACCGAAGGTTTATTGACTGGTTTCATAACCGGGTTAGTAGTGTTCATTTTACTAAAGTAACGAAGGATTGGTACCTCAAACAGATTTTAATTATCTTTTATAATTTCAGGTTGGTGGTCAATTAAATATGAATTTGAATGGAGTGACAAACATTGTTAAGTGGCTAGCTCATGGACCACGTAAGGGAGTTTTGAAATATAACGGTTATGCCATAGATGGGTACCGTTACCACACTAAGGCACGTGACAATGAACGTGCTGTCCAAAATAGTGGGGTTTGCTTGGTGGCAAGTACTATGCAAGTTTCAAGTGCAAAGGATAAAAATCCAGTTGTTTCAAACATGATATTCTATGGGGTTATCGAAGAAATATGGGAGCTTAATTATAATCAGTTTCAAGTTCCTTTATTTAAGTGTGCATGGGTAGAGAATGAGAAAGGTGTCAAATATGCCGAGGATAGTGGGTTGACTATGGTGAACCTTAATCGGAGAGGTTATCGAAAGGATGAATTTGTTATGGCCACTCAAGTGAGGCAAGTATTTTACGTTGATGACCCTGAAACTTATGGTTGGTCAATTGTACTTCCAATGCCGAATAGAGTTTATATTCATGGTGATGAGTTAGAGGATGCCGTACTTGAGCACCAATCCTTTACTAATGGACTGCCAGCAGTAGAAGAATTTAAATATGATATTGGTGAGGGTGAGGCGAAGTATATGCGAACAGATTGCGAGGGGATATGGGTCACTAATAGAAAAAAAACAAGCATAGATGTTGGTTTTTTATGTGAGAATTTTCATTAAATCTATTATGTGTATTATCTTTTGTGTGTATTGTCAATTTACATAATTTATTTTGTTATATGCATATTCTAATGTTCTTCTTTTATGCAGATATGGCTGAATCAAATGAAGGGAGTACATCACAAACAACTAGTACATCAAATAGTGAAGGTAAAAGGAAGCGTGGTCCAACAGAAATGAATCAAATTCAAATAAAGAAACGTAAAGGGAAAATGATAAAAGTTCTGTTTAACTCCAAAGGAGAAGCAAGTGGTCAGGCGGGTAAACAATTGGCTTCATACACCGGTGTAGTAGCTCGAACCTTTATCCCCATTACCATCAATGCTTGGAGTGATGTGGATGACCAATTGAAAGAGAAAGTGTGGACAGAAATTACGGTAATACTCCTTAGTTGATGCTTTTACAGATTTTCTTTAGTTTTCTATTGTAATTTGCCTAAACTGAACATCTTTATTTATTTTATGCAGTCAGTATTTGAATTGCCACCCGAAAGCATAACGGGGATATTGCAATCAGCTTGTAGCAAGTGGAGGCAATTCAAAGTCTAACTTAACGAGGTACCACATACTACCATATAGAAATGACCAACAAGCATTGAAGCAGCCTCCTGACATGTATGACTTCATTGAGTTATCGGATTGGCAAACTTTTGTAACCTCAAGATTCAGTACTGAATGGCAGGTATACTGACATACAAACTTGCTGTTTTTCATTTAAAACAATGATTTTTTTTGGATAAATATGACATATAAACTTCTGGTCTTATACTTATAATGTAGGAAATCCATGAAGCCCAAAAGGAAAGGCAAAGTAAATGTAAATATCATCACAAATCAGGCCGTAAAGGGTATGTTGGAGTGGCTGAAGACTTGGTAAGTGTAAGAGAAGAAACTGTTTTTTGGACTCTTATTTGTGTATTGCCCTATGCTAACTTTGATCAATCTTAAATAGTATGAGCAGAATGTAGTGGAGAAGGGTGAGGAAATTGACAGAGCTCTTTTATGGAAGTATGCACGTAAAGATAAAAATGGGGAGATAGTTGATAAGGAGGTAGCTTTAATGGCTGAAAAGATTGTAAGTACTAATTAATTGGTTAATTTATGGTATCTTTTGTTGACAATAAACATTACAGAAACATATCTATGATGTTGATTGTGATCACCTTCTTTTTGTTGATAATGGTTTCAGGATAACTTGATGAAGGAGAAAGAAGAAGGCACTTTAACCATATCTGGGAGTAATGATGTTTTGTCAATGGCTTTAGGGACCCCTGAACATGCTGGAAGGGTGAGGGGTGTGGGAGGTAATGTGAAGCCAAGTGCATATTTCAAAGTTCCTAGGAAGAAGAGGGAGTGTGTCTCGAAGGTAATGTTGGAACAACGAGATTCTTGGATAATGGAGACAAGAAAGATGATGGAAGAACAACAAAAAAGGCATGAAGCTGCGCAACAAGCTCTTCAAAACCAAATCGAGATGCTAAAGGTGGTGATTAACACTCAAGTTCCTAATAACGCATCTCTCCAATCCCCAAATATACATCCATCTCCCATCTTATCCGAGAAAGCATCAACAAACATAGAGAGAAAACTTGAGGAGGGTGAAAAAGAAATTTGTGGTGAAGAAGGTTGTGAGGATGTGGTGGAGCAAACTGAAAGTGAGTTTATGAAGGTAATGCTGATTTTTCATTTACTTTGATATACTTGGTCTAAATATGTACACACAAAATTACTGATTAGAATACGATTTATATGAATTTCATGGCCATAATATCTGAACTTTTTGACAAATTCACAGGAAATAAAGGTTGTTAGTTTTGTGCAGATTGGTGTAATGATTCATCATTGCTCTCCTTTTTCATTTATTTGTTTGTTTGTGATCTTAATGTTATGAATTGCTTGCTGACACTGATTGTTTGACTAATTATAAAATTTTTCCTTGTCTGATGTTAGAAAGCATGTGCATGCAGAGAATTACTTAGCACTTTAAAAGCTGAATTCCCATTTGCCCAAGATATTGTTATTAAGTAGGAAAAAGGTTTATATTCTTCATTCTCATTTACCCAATAAGGCAATGACATTAGATTCTACAATTAAATAGACCACCCACAATCTCTTACTTAATTAATTTGTAAGCCAAGCTCGTGAATATTAATAGTGAAGCTTCCTAGGCCTCTAGTTTTTTCCTAGGCCTCTACGATCTCTTTCTTTGACTCCATCTTCTACTTAATTGATATAAATGCTTGCTGAAATTGATATGTTTAGCTTGTATTATATTTGTGACTTGTCTTTTATATGCATATTAGGGTTGAATGCAAAATGGCTTTCGGCGAAAAGGCAAACCTTGTTGCAAGTGGCACAATAGTTGAGATTAATGTGCCAAACCAGCTGGTTCATAATGTTCCTTTGGGAGATGGGAACATAAGAGTAGCTGTGAATTGTGCACTAAAGGGAGATTCTCCACTACCAATCCCTGTGAAAGGAGTGTTAGAAACGGTTGGGGATGCCATTGGGTCGCAAGTAGCTTGGCCTCAAGATCTTATTGTCTTTGATGATAAAGTGGTAAACTTCTTTTCTAACTAATATGTATGTAATTGTATGTATTTATATATATAACCTTCTGCTTGATGCAATAATTGTAGAAGAAGAGGGAAACTACAAAGGAAAAATTAGCGAAGACTTTATTCAAGACTATATCACCAACAATGCCAAAGTCTTGCAAGGTTTTATATGCATACGCACATCAAGTGATGTCCAAAGGTCAGACTATCTCCACAAATATTAATGAGGACATATTTGGTGTGAAAAAGATGGTATACATCTTTCAAGAACAAGTTATCGCGTTCGCTGAAATGAGAGAAATAGGACAATCTATAATAATTGCTTATATTAGGTAATAGTAACTTGATATTTTATAATTTTGATGTTTTATAATTTTCTGTTTCTCATATTGGCTATTAATCTTGTGTCTCATTTAGTTAGTAACTATGGAAAATGGTTGGCAGCTATTTGTTTCGCTTGGTAAAAAGCCAACAAAGGGATCAAGTGATTGGATTTATGGACCCAGCACGTACTGTACATGATCCAAGAGATGGGAATTTGAGGTCGGAATACATTACGAAATGTTTGAAACAAACGAGCATTGACAGCATCTTTTTGATTCCATATAATCCTGGGTAAGTAAAGTGGTTTTTTTTTTTTTTTTTTACAAGGAATGTTTGAGTATTACTAATATGTTTTGAATTAACATTAGGGGACATTGGATCCTAACAATAATTGATGAGGACAAAGATAATGTGTATGTCATGGATCCTCTTGGGGCTCATCACCCTCATGATGCATGGAAAACTGTTGTAAATGAGTAAGTCCGTCTCTCTTAGTTATTTCCTTAATATGTAAATTTTTTGCATTTGGCTTACGGCCTATAACAAGTGTTATTTATCTGTTAAAGTGGGATCAAAGCTTTCAATGCGCAAATTGGGAGACGACCTCGTAAATTACCAATGTGGATTATGCTTTCGGTATGCTTGTATTTCACAAACATTGTAAGATTAATTTTAAGGAACCTAACTAACTAAATGCTGAATTGTTGTGTAAAAATGTAGGGTGCTCCTAAACAAAGCGATGGCAAGTCATGTGGGTATTTTGTGATGAGATACATGAAGGACATTTGTAAAGATTCCTCCCTTGAATTTCGAAATAAGGTACTTAAGGAAATTTGCAACTTCTATTTTTTTGGTAGTTAGGTCTGTGTTAATATGAACCTTGTGTAATTTTTTTCATAGCAATGTGCCTCTGTTTTTTTGGTAGTTAGGTCTGTGTCAATTGAAAAAAAATGCTAGCTGTGCTTGTTCAACTCTCTACCCCATCACATGATCATTTAATTGCTAGTTTAAACATGAAGTGGGATCCAATTAATGACTTCTTGTTATCTAATTAGATTGATTGAAAAATTAGATTTTCTTGTTCACCAATATGATTTCGTAAATTTGCATATTGGTTCATTTGAAGTGACAACATATCTTATGCAAATTTAGTACCTTGCACTTTTTAAGCTTATGTTCATATTTTGTGTTTACATTCTTTGTTTTTTTTTTTTTTCCAGTATAGAGCTAGAAAGAAGGACACGTACACCCAAATGGAATTGGATGAGGTGCGAGAAGAATTGGCAAGTCATGTACTAGAATGGCTTTTGATTAAGCTAAACATTCCTTCATTTTACATGTCTTTATAGCTAGTATTTTGCTTATGCATAGACAAGTATGGATAATTTGTGGTGTAGGGCTGGTAAATTTGTGATTTGGATGTGACAAGTATGGATCATTCAAGTATTTTGCTTATATATATAGACAATTATTGATATATTTAAATTACTGTTGATATAATGTTTTTTTTATGAGCAATGGCAACACAACATGATTTGGAAATGAGGCCTTTCTTAAATACTATTACAGTAACTAAGTAAAGTGTGATGTGAAACAAGCAAAATACCTACCATTTCCTTACATAAATGATGCCTATTGTTTATAACAACTTCAGTTTTTCAGAAATAACTGAAGTTGAAAGATAAAAACAACAACCAGACATCTATTATCACTGATGCCTAAAACGAGAAGTAGCATTAGCATTTATGTAACCACCAGCACTATTCGAGGCTTTTCACGTCCGCAAAACAAAAAAAGCGATGATGTATAACATAATTCACAACACCATTATTTGTTTCTACGATGTTGTAATTGATAATATGCATCAGCATAGTAGATATCACTGATGCTGTTAGACCTCTTTAGCCTCACCCCTTTTAAAACTACTGATGATGTTAGAACTCTTTAACCTCATCCCTTTTGAAAGTACTGATGCTGTTTCGGGTTTAGGCGTCAGAAGTCAACCTTTTTTTGGCACCCGGAAATCATTTAGACATCAGAGTTTACTTGATATCCGATGTAGTAAGTGATAAACAGCGATGGAGAATATCCGTTGCCTATTACATAGGAATAGGTAACAGTCACCAATACCACGGTATTTATGTGTAATAGGCAACGGATTTTATCCGTTGCTAAAGCCCTTTTTTGGCATAGTGAAAATAAAACTGATGAACAAGGTAATGTGGTAAGAAACAAGGCTAGATTGGTTGCTCAAGGATACACTCAAATGGAAGGCATTGATTTTGATGAAACTTTTGCCCCTGTTGCAAGATTAGAATATGTCAGATTACTTCTTGCCATTGCTTGTCACTTGAAATTCAAACTTTATCAAATGGATGTCAAAACTGCTTTTTTGAATGGTATTTTAAATGAAGAGGTCTATGTTGAGCAACCAAAGGGTTTTGAAGATCCACATCATCCAAATGATGTGTTTCGTTTAAAAAAGGCACTCTATGGTTTGAAACAAGCTCCTAGAGCATGGTATGAGAGGTTATCCTCTCATCTTCTATTAAATGGATATGTTAGGGGGTCGGTTGACAAAACCTTGTTTGTCAAAAGATTTAAAAAGGATGTCTTGATTGCTCAAGTGTATGTTGATGATATTGTGGTTGGTTCTACCTCTGATTTGCATGTTCAAGAGTTTATTCATGTCATGACTAGTGAATTTGAAATGAGTCTTGTGGGTGAGCTTAACTACTTCTTAGG